CTCTTTGCCCTCTCAGTAAAACAAAGTGTGTTCTGGTTTATAAATGTGGGTTGTCCCATGTGGTGCAGGAATCTTGATTATTTAGAGCAGAAATGGAAACTTTACTGGAGAGTCACAAATGTTGGCTAGAGTTCTCTTTATGAAATTGTAATTGCTGCACCCTATAAGCTTGTTTGCTCCTCCAGAGCAGCAGAAGGCACTGTCTCCTGACCACTGGCACAAGTCTGTCAGCATTTACCCTTGAAGAGGGGCATAGATGCCACCTTGTCCTTCTCTTCATGTGGCAAAAGGTTTTTGACCTCTTCAGTCACCTTTTTATTATCCTAACCTCCTTATATGTAAAACCATGAGGTAGCAGCAAAGAAGTATAATGTTGTTTGGGGTGGTTTTTGTTCGGTTCTCTTCTGTTCCAGTACTCAGGTTTAAAAGGCAGTCATCAATGGACAAATTAATGTGCACCATCATTCTGTTCAGCATTAAATGGCCAGTGGGCATCTGTGGGCATCTAGGGATGGAAATGAGCAAAGCAAGATGCTGGGAACACTACAATGGCATAACTATGTTCAGAGCTTATATTGCAGCTGAACGTTTTCATGCTGAATGGAAGCCATGACACATGGATCTCTGCCAATGCAACCTTCATAATTCAGTCTAAGACTGCAAAGCTAGTGGAGTGGGGAGGATATTGTCTTTTGAGCTTAATTTAAACCTTTGCACAGAGAAGTCCTTGCCAGGTGGCCTTAAGCAAACCACCATCTCAGCCTCAGTTCTTCCTTTATAAAAGAAGAATTACAGTAACCTCATTCACAGGGATTGTCTTTGGGCAAAGAAAATTAATTGCCTAATCCTGCCTTTTCTCAAGAAAGGCTTGAACTAGACAGATTTATGTGCCAGGCTATGGGGGATCTTGTGCCAGTTCAAGAGAGTCAATGCAGGCCACAGTTTATGTTATTCTACAACTCTGCTGCACACCTGCACTATACAGATCTTCAAAGAGGAGCAGTAGATGGACTCAGCAGGTACAGGGTGGAACATGGGAATTGGGGAGAGTGGTTGAGGAAAGTGGTGAAATCTATTAGTGCATCGTGGCATTCCTTCTTTGCCCATCAGATTTAACCCAGAGGAGATCAGGGTTAGGACTGGCCTCACCATGAGGTACGAGGGCTTAATCACCTCCAGTTGCAGATGCTAAAAAGCTGAAGGAGAAGTGTTGTGGTGGTTTCCTTCCTAGATGGTGGAGTTGTGCATGCCAGACAACCTATGCTGCTCACACATACCCCAATGAATTTGCTGCTTTATTGCTAGTAGAGGACACTATTGGGTCACCAGTTTTGAGGCAAAACTTAAATGTCCCTCTAGTTGGCTTCTTGTCCATAGTTTCAGGCAGCAAAATATTTCAGGCCAGACCTTATCAGTGTTAGTTCTGAAGTACAGAGTTGCCCCGCTTGACGATTACCCCGCGTGATGAGGAAATCGCTTAACGATGAGTTTTTTGTGATCGCTATAGCGATTGCAAAGCGATGATTCAGTAGGTTTTTTTTGCTTCACGGTGATCAGTTCCCTGCTTCGGAAACCGATTTGGGAATCGCTTAACTATGAGTTTTTTGAGATTGCTATAGCGATCGCAAAGCGATGATTCAATAGTTTTTTTTCGCTTCACAGCGATCAGTTCCCTGCTTCGGAAACCGATTTTTCGCTTAACGATGATCTAAAAACACATGATCAGTGGTTTGCAAAATGGCTGCCCTCTATTTTGCTGACCTATTTTCGCTTTACAGCATGATTGGCAGTTTGCAAAATGGCTGCCCGCTATTTTGCTGACCTATTTTCGCTTTACAGGCATCAGAAAATGGCCACCCTATGGAGGATCTTTGCAGGACGATCAGGTATTTCCCCCATTGGAACGTATTTACCGGTTTTCAATGCATTGCAATGGGTTGTGTTTTTTTTCGCTTGACAATTTTGCTGTACAGCGATTTTGCTGGAACAGATTATCGTCGTCAAGCGGGGCACCACTGTACTACACAATGATATTACAATTATGAACAGCCATATATGACTGTATAAGCAATGGCCTCACAGAAAAGTGGTTTTAGTATGATCACCCCCATGTACCATTTATACAACCTCTTCAGACCCCCATCTCTCTATCTCTCTCATCCACATGAAATATAAGACTGGAGAAAAGAATCAGACCCCCAGATTAAGGTGGTTAAACCTTATGAATCCAGCTATGCTAGCATCAGCACAAACTTCCCAGTCTCTGAAACTTCAAGGGAAAAACCTGACATTACATATGCCCTGTGATCTAGTGGAAGGTGGGCTTAACAACTGCAAAATAAAATGTGTGTGAAAGAGAGAAGTTTAAGACAAACAATGAGGATTTCCTGTCCTCCCATCTAAACAGTATGCAGTATTAGATGTAGCACACATACAAACGTATTTGCAGTCATAGAGTGAGCTCTAAAGTCAGTGAAGTGGAGAACAGACAGGCACCCAGGCATTCAAGCTACATATAAGAATATCAAACTTCCTCTTCCTCCAGCACTCTTTGTCTTGAGATTTAGCACTCAACAGGAGACTCGTGGAAGCAGAGCAATTCCATGACACCCTGAGACTTGGCAGCTCAAGCACCAGCTACAAGACTCAGAAAAGGCAGCTTCATAGGGTTTCACCCTGATGGGAGATGTTACGACATAAGCAAAGCTGCCTCAAGTGCCAGATGCAGGAGACAGACTTAGATGGAATGTAGGGCACACAGACTCTCTCACCCAAGAGAAGGCAATGATGCAGGGGTCACAGGCATGCCCCTGCTATCAATGGTATGGTTATGATGCCTTCTTTTGCCTAGCCCACTGAGAGGGCAACCCAGCTTCGGCTATGGGGACCTAGCCCCTATTCCACACACCCTACAGGGGAAGTTCTTGAGTGGGAAATCACCACACAAGACTGCTAGCATTGTGGGGAAGTGTAAGCATACCTATAATGTTCTTGTCATTTCACAACTGAAGTGCTGCATCAGCCTCAGGCACAAATACCCTCAGGTTAGTGTAAAATAGGTTGTGATGTTGCTGAAGATTTTGATGAGCACCAAAAAAGGGATCAGAACATGTAAAACAAGGTACAGGACGCCTACAAATCCCCACAAGCACAGTAATTTGGTGGTCTTTCAGTTTCCTGAACTATCAAGCTGTGATACTCTTAATAGTACTATACATGTGGAACACACCATCTTAAAGCTCAAGGGGAGGAGAAAATGTATTCGCGAAGGCTTTCATGACTGGGATCTAATGGTTGTTGTGGGTTTTTCAGGCTCTTTGGCCATGTTTTGAAGGTTGTTCTTCCTAACATTTCGCCAGTCTCTGTGGCCGACATCTTCAGAGGACAGGAGTAGAAAAATGTCCGTTCTTTTTGGCACATGCTCAGATAGGAGAATCATGTGCCCTGTTTCTCAGAAGTCATTCTTTGCTTCTGGTGGCTGTGAATGTTTGTCCAGTCTGCATCAGGGTAAAGACAAGGAGCCAGAAGAAGGCAGAACAAGGGCCCTTGAAGTTGCATATCAACAGTTAGTACCAGGACAGCAAACAGAGGATCTACAGAGATCACCTGGTCAGAGTCTTCACCACTAACATTTCTCTTCTCCCCCAACCTCACCAGCTGTCCCACAGTATACAACAGCTTCTAAATTTTTGATGTTTGTGTGTGAGAGAGAGACAGAGACAGAGAGATTACTTACCCATTCTGATAATAATTAAATACTTCTAGCATATGCAAGTATTTGTCACTTAATGGTTTTTTAATAAGTAGTGTAGCTTAATTGCTTTTTAATCAGTCATTTATTGTGTTTTTAGTTGGAGCTGTTTTAACACTGTGAGCGGCCTTGGGTCCCTTCACTAGGAGAAAGGTGGCCTTCAAAACAAACAAAGAAATAAAAACATGCTGTTTCATATTTCAAACTTACTTAAATCACAACTCTCCCACATCTACATGAATAAAATTGGCTTCGGCTCACTGTGCTCATGCAAAACATGTTTAATTAAGAGCAAGCACCATTTTGTTCTAGACATGTGTATTTGTTAAGAAAAAAATAATAAAATGGGCATTTATAACCATGAACTTACTTACTTACTTACTTACTTACTTACTTACTTACTTTCTACCATTAACATAAAGCTACATTGGTAGGTTTGTGTCTGATACCTTAATGGAAACTCTTCATATGTCAGTGTTCTTCAACATACTGCCATCTAGATGTTTTGGACGTTTAACTCCCTTTGGTGCAGCCAGCCTGGTCAGTGATCAGGAGTTCTGAAAGTTGTGCTCCAAAACAGACTTCCTTCCTTCCTTCCTTCCTTCCTTCCTTCCTTTCTGTAAAAAAAAGAGAGAAAGAGAGAATGGATGCTGTGGCAAGAAGAATCAAAGGATGTGGTGCCAAGCCTGTTACCTTCTGCCCCCATCATCTGAAGCTCTTTGTGTAGTTATTTGTGCCTCTCCTGGGTTGCATGTCTCTGGACTTTGGCCCCGAGGTGCAACCGTAGCTTCACACCACTGAGCACAGCAATAGTAAGGGCGGCTTGTAAGGCAGAAGTGAGCTCTAATAAACAAACAGAGGGGCTCAATGGTAGCAGTTGGGGTGGGACTTTAAGTACACTTCATAGGCCACTGGCCTGGACCCATTGCCTGAAATGTGCTTTTTGCGTTGGCATGCACAGCCAGCCTCTGCCACCCGTGTGCTGCCGCTTATCAGAACCCTCCAACTTTGCCGGCAGAACAGATGCGCATTTCCTGCACTCTGGTTCTGCTGGGAGCGCAGGCGGTACGGCAGAAATAAATCACATAGAAGTTGCTGTCATTTCTCTACCTTGCTGCAAAAAAAATATCCTCCAACGGCAGCCACTGCCACCGCCTGACTGGCTTGGGCTGGCACAGTCTTTGAATGAAAAATCTGGGCAAGTGGCACCAGCCGCCCTCTCTAATTTTTAGCTAATACCTCCGTGGATTCTGTGTTCACATCTGGCCAGTGCCGTCATGCTGGGTGTAATTCTGATCAGCTGCTGCTCTTTCCCCAAGCAGGAAGACGGGGGCACCACTACCCGACAGACTCAACAAGAGACTTGTTCCAAACATAACAACAGCACATCACATAGCCAGCAAAGGGTCTGCAGTGCAGGACTTTTCCCAAGGCATGAAGGGAGGGGGGAAGGGGAGAAAGAGAGAGAGAGAGAGAGCGAGAAATGTGTTAACTGTGCTAACAGTGCCAAGTAATATGCTTCGTTAAAAATTTAATCACCTGCAAGTGCAAAACAAGTGCAAAGCAATCATGTTGTAATTAGTACAGCAATTAACACCTCCCTCTCTGATAGCACATGCATCCTAGGAAGTGCAGGGTTGCAAGGGCGCTCACATCCTTTTCCTACAGAGCTGTAAGAGGAAAAAATGGGGAAGGAGAGAGGAAGAAACGGACTTCAGTGGCTTCTTGGATATGTTTGTAATAATTGTGGATTTTTAAACAATTGCATGCACTCATGAAAATATCTACTCTTTTCGATACCACAAGAATATGCTTTCTTCTTTGGGACCTCCACCATGACATCAGGCAACCTTCCGAAAAGGGCAGCAGAGCAAAGCAAAAGAAAACACACATACACACAAGAGAACTTTAGATTTTGCACTGTCCCTGTGGACATTTAATTATTTTCTTTCCAACTTTGGTTTCCAATAAACCAGTGACTGGTACAAGGGCCCTGGCGAACCCATGACTATCACTCTCCCTCACTCTCGCCTTTGCTTTTTTTCCTTACTTTTTTTCTCTGGAGATTTCCTCTGATGAGTATCTCCAAACTGGTTGCAAGAAGACTCCGATTCGGGGAGTTCATAGGGTTGAACCTGCTTGGGTTGAGATGAGCTGTATCATAGATTTTGTAATTGTGCATTTTGTATTGAGTATTTGATGCATTATTGATTGGTGGCTGTTAGCCACTTTGGATTTATTCTGTTAAAGACCTGTCGACTCTAAATTATTGAAAGAAAAGAAAATGTATTTGCATTCATTCCACACACACCCCAGGACCTACCTGCTGTCTACATTAGCCTTTTTGCTACTGCCCTGGCTGAACAACTGCTTCTATTTTATTGAGATGAGAAACTGGGATTCTATTTTCCCTCTCCTCTTTGTTCCTTTCCTTCTCTCTTTTTCACTTATGTTACTTCCACTAGCAGCACATGATCTGGGCAGGATGGCAGCTCACCTCAAAACTGCCATAGGCCACAGATTATCCTTGTTCCAGTACTTTATAAATCACGATGTACAGTGCTGGTTTCAGATTAAATGGTATCCACTAATTCTGGATTTCTATTCCTTTAAGAATCATAAATACAGAAATACTGGTGACTCTTTACTGTAAATAAAATTAATGCTTCAAGGAAAGATGATTCATTGTATGCCATACACTTGAATGAGATCCTAGATTCCCAAATTATGAAACATAATTGTGCTCTAAGCTTGCAAGTCAACAGTATAACCTTCCTGAGGTTTTAGGGCCAGAGCCTTAAACCTAGCTCTTAGGATGTCAAAGGAAACAAACACTTTTGAAAAAACTGCAAAATAGTATGCATGAAAGAGAAGGAAATGCAAAGACCATGATAAATTCAAAGCCGGTCTACAAATTCCACTAGTAGCAGCATGCCTTAAATGGCATTTCATGAAGTCACGAAGATGAACCCAAAATTTTGAGATCCCAAGTTGCTAGCATTCCATTAACTGAGAATTTAGGTCCAAAATATGAGATTCAGAGAAGAAACTCCCAAAGCCAAGGGTCAAAATTAGGGGCTTGGAAACCCTGCAATGAAATATGCAATGAAAGGTGTCGGAACAGGCCACAAATCATATTCCCTAACTCTTATCAATTTTAGCCAAATCATCCCTTCCTAGAGCCATCTAAGAGTAATAGTTAAAGCGAGCACCATAAAATACAAGGAGATCTGGAGCTCATCTTGTTCCCGCCTCTGCAATTTTAATACTGAATGAAGATCCTTTGGGGTCTGAGAGGTTGCATGAAAAGCTGAAAGACATTTATTAAAGAAATTGGGAATACTCTACAGCTACTAGCAGGTTGTGCCTTCAAATAAAATGATAATTAGGGAAAGCTCTGTAAACAGTTACTGAATATACCGAGTTCTTTTGCTTAAGCCTGTGTCATAGCAGCAAGACAGGCTTCATTAACAAAAGTGAGCAGTAAAGATTTAAAAAACAACAACAAAAAACCCACTTAATCTCATTTTGCCTGCACAGATTCTCACATGTGACACAGAATCTCCACATTTTTGCCCACCAAACAGATGGCTAGAGTGACATCTGTGTGGCTGAGGTGATCCTGGGAGGTTGACAAAGTTGGGGGGGGGGTGTCATACAATCAAGGATTTTGAGAATGTACCCCACATCCTAGTTTTGTTCTGAGGGTAAAATGAGCTGGTCCCTTCCTTACCATGAGCAGCCACCATGCTCATAATGATGTGATTATACAAATTATATCTGCTAAAGGCACTGAGGGTGAGGAAACAGAGACCTGACTGAGGACACCTTATTCATTTATGATTGAGGTAGCACTTCAGGTGGAGAAGAAGCAGCCTGTGGATGTTGTGAGTACCAGCACAAGGGACCCAACCAGCCAGCCAGGTGACTCATTCCCATTCCACAGAACTAGACAAATTAATGGAAAAAAAATCTTCCAGTGGCTACTAATCATAATAGCTATATGTTGCCTTTAGACTCAAAAGCAGCACAGCTATAAATGCCAGTGGTGTGATAATAGCAGAGGGAGAGGACTACTGCTTTCTCCTCCTCCATGTAGATATTGTAGTGGAAACGGACAGCTACCGTAGGAAATACAACCATGGACGAGATCTGAAGTGAGGAACCTTGTGGCGTTCCAGACATTGTTGAAGTACCAACGCCAGCCAGCTTAGCTTTTAGATAATAAAAGATTATCTCTGATCTCTAACAATATCTGGAGGTTCAGAGTTTCCCCACTTGTGGATTTACTCTACATATTAATGCGCTGCAGAACCTACTTGCAGTTTCTCTGCTGTAATCACTTTCTGTAAACATAGCTCAGCCTTTCGCAGTAATTGCGCATGTCGAGTGGGATTGGCCATCCTCCATTTTGGGCCAAAAAGCTCTCTTGGCTAAGAATGGCTATGGTGCTGCAAAAATGACCTTGAAGCCATCTAATTCCAGCCCATCCTAACACCAAATCTCCTCTCCAGAAGCAGAACCCCTGGGATATTAAGAATATTGTCATAGTCATGAGCTGAAACATGGGTTCATCAGAGGCCTAATGGAAAATATACTGCAGGAGCCTCTTGTAACAACATTGGCACCACATCAATAACATGCCTAAAAGTGTGTGTCTGTGAGTGAGGGGGAGGATCAACAACTTTTTTACTTTCTGTTCTTTCACCCATTATCTCCACAAACAAGCGTTGATGATTATATGAAATGAAAGGTTAATGAAAGCACACCTGCAGCTTCCTTATGTCTCCTTGCAGAAAGAAGCAGGCAGGCATTCTAGAATGATTTGGCAGAAAACAAAATAGAAGTACAAAGAAAGAAGGCAATTGTCCTTTTAAAAACAACATCCTAAAAAGCATTGAGGGATGCTGGATTCTGAAATTAAACGGTACTTCTGACAAACTTAAACATCCTTCTTGCTGGTTCTTTTGATCATGTAAGTTTAAAAAATGAAAGGATATATAGTATATATACTTCTAAGCTGTTGCACATGCATTACTTAGTCCTTCCTGAAATTACCATTAACTGCATTAGCATTAGGTATCTCCTGCTCATACACAAATATACAGTATGGGAAGTCAGCAGAGATGCTTCCAAATTAATCCTCATGGAGACCATGTTACATAGAACTTGCACCTGCCTAACTGACATTAAAAACTCTGAAGCAGAAAGGGGAATCTTTGTCAATGGAACACAATAGCTATGGTGGGCAGGTATCAGGGAGTTACTATGCTTCTCTTGGAAACAAATCTCACAGCAAGCATTTCTGGCTAAGGAAAGAGACTGATTTTTATTTGCTAAGTGTCCCTAAAAGGTAGTTCCCCCCCCCATCTCCATCTATTCTCAGCTGCAGCTAAGGCTCACTGGATCACCACAAAGATGTTTGCACATTTATTGTAATCATTGTTGCAAGTACTACATAGACCATTCTTCCCTCTGACATGCAACACATTCCAACAATTTTATATTTAGGCACATCTTGAAAACTTGCGGTCTGCCAAAAATATTGGACAAACTCAAATTACTGGTCCCAGCTAGAGTAGACCCATTGAGTCTGTGGGATGTCTAATCCCTTAGCATTTGATTTAGTGGATCTACTGTAGCTGGGACTAGCAATTGGAGTTAGGTCGTTGTATTTGAATTCTGTGTAATTTTTTATATTACACGTTTTATTGTTGTTGTACACTACTTTAAAATCTTCACTTTTAAGCACAGGATATAGCATGGAAACAAAAACAGGTACAGTAGGCCACTGAATCAGTGGAGATTGAGTCAACCCCTATGTACTGTAATTTCAATTGTTTTATTGGGTTTACTATAATTGTGACTTACTGCTGGATTTCAGCCACAGGTATGTTAACCCACCAAAATCATCCACAATACTGTGGAAAGATATTCTAGATCAATATTTCCCAACCTTGAATCCCCAGATGTTCTTGGACTAAAACTCCCAGAAGCCTTTACCACCAAGCTGTGCAGGCTAGATTTCTGTGAGTTATAGTCCAAGTTTGATTATTTGTTATTTGAAAGTAATAAAACATAATGTCAATGAGGTGATACATCATATCACATTGCTTCGCTTCACATCAAAAATTGACTTACATGTCTTCCCATTATCCTGCTTATTTCTTCATCATTTCTTTGGAGTGTGGTTTGCTTCCACAACTGCTTGTGAATGAAGTAGAATAAGGAAATGTGTAAATTGTTGCATGACTAAATTAAATGCTATTTTAACTAACAGCTAATAGTGTTTACTGCTGTGCAATTGTAATTTTCATATTTTTACTGTATCTAATGACTTTCTGATGATTCAGATTCTCTGTAGGGATACAAAATCATTATATTAAGGATGAGTGATTTTAGTATGCAATGACTGATCAGTACAATAATATGTAGACTCATGCTTCAGCTAGTAAATTAGATCATTTACACTACGGTGCTTGTCAATTCGTATGGGGGTTCTTGCATTGTAATTTACGTGAGCAATAAAGCCTGCTTAATACAAAGCAGCACAGGAGAATCCTAAATAGGTATCCCTTTGGCAAATGTAATCGAAGGACAGAGGGGAAACTACACATACTTAAACTTAGGGTGTGATCAGACAGGTGTTTAACCCGCTGTTTGAACTGCTGCGGGGATGGGTTGGTTCCTTCTCTTTGACAGCAATCACATGACATAATTGCTGGAGCAAACCAGATCATCCCCAGAGTGTTCCTATCTGCACCTTTTTTGGCTCCTGTTAGGGGCTTTCACTTTTTTTGGCGCAGGTAGGATCACATTGACCTGGCCTGTTTCTTGTTCATGTGACTGCTGGAAACAGGTCAAAAGTGAGCCTTCCTCTCATTTGGCAATATCGTGAAGTAACTTTTGAAAAAGAGCCGCTTCACAAGGTTAGCAAATGAATCACTTCCTTGGCTCAGTGAAGGAAGTGACTGCTGTTGTTTTTTTATGGGGGTGGGGTGGGGTTAAGTGTGCATTAGGGCAGCAAACATTTACTATATCACTTTAGAGACCTAAAAGACTAATGGGAAGCCAATGTGTATTTTGACAGGCAAACTGACAGCAAGCTGTACTGCACTGCCTGGATACACATTAGACCAATTTTCTAATTATCACAACAGATTTTGCAGACTTTGTGGACACTTGGATCTGGGTATTAGCTGACACAGAACAAAGATTTTATGACAGTTTGCAGCTGACCAGCTAAAGTATCTTAAAGATCAAGTCATGAATGTCCTCCCCCCCCCCACATTTCTGTCTTTAATAATAATCATGCGCCATCCAGTCAATTCTTATTTGTGGTGCCCCTTTTTGGGGTTTTCCAGGTAGAAAATACTCAGAAAGCTTATTGGGGATTATTTATTCATAATGCAATATTTGGTTCAAAGTATGTATTGTCTCACTAAATTATCCCCTTGTTCATTCACTTACCACTTACCCATCAGCTGCATATATTGGCTGAAATCCTGTTGCTTAGCATAGTAAATCAAATGAAAGTAGGTCCATAGCATCAGAGAGCACTTGGTGAATCAAGTCCTCCATATGTTCCATTGATTCAAATGGGCTTCTTCTAGTTATGACTTATTTTGCTAAAGTAAATTGCAAAGAGAGTAATTTGAATCAATGGAATTTACAGAGGAGTTGACTCACCAAATCCTAACTGACTCAATTGGCCTACTCCGGTGTGACATATTGTGCTAAGTAACAAGATTTCAGCCATTGTCTGTTAAAGTGTAACTTCTGAAGCTTTACACTGCTTTGGGTAATATATTTGGTTCATTAATAGGGCTCCATACAGCTGCGTGCTGATAGGACCTTAAACAGAGGCTTGTAGGCAAAAGGAAGAAGAGGAGGGTTGATTGTGTTTAAGGGAGCCTTCATGATTCATTTATTGTACTGAATATTATAGGATACAAATTGAAAGACATAGCACAAAAATCATGACCTTCAGTATTTTCTCTAGTAGAAATGTAGTTCGGAAGCCTCAAAGCAAATAGAGATAATAGCAATAAGTTGAACTGCATTTTCTGTTCCTTGCTCCTGATGTGTGGGTTGTTCCTCTTTTTTGAAACCATGGATTTAACATTCATCCTCTAAGTGTTTATTCAGTGCTGTGAATATAGGAAGAATGTGTTCTTCTTCAAACAAGAAAATAATTGCTCACAAAGCCAGAGCAGCAAAGAATACAAAAGGAATCTAGAAGCTAAGGGCACTACTGATCATGGGCAGGAAGTAGCTCTGCCTGATCTCCTCCTGGCTGTTATTGTTGTTCAGTTAGAGATCAGGGAGTATACCCATTCATGGCAACAGGGCTTCCTCTTGAGCAAGGAGATACTGGAGACCTCTTTCATATGCTCTGAAAATGCCTTTCCATGTATGTAAGAATCAAACAGGATCCTGCCCTAAAGGTCAAACTAAACATTAAGAAATTCATAGTTGAACTTGATCAGTGGTTCTTCACCTTTGTTCCTCCAGATGTTTTTGACTTCATCTCTCAGAATCCATGGACATTGTCCATGCTGTCTGGCATTTCTGGGAGTTGATGTCCAAAACATCTGGAGGACCAAAGGCTGATTTTGAGATCCCATTCACATCTATAATTTAAGTGTTCCTTACCACTGTTGTACTGTTTGTGTGTCTGTGTATGTTTCATTTCATCCTTTACCAAGAACACATTGACTTCCAGATGAGAATGTCGATCTGAATGAATAAACAAATATAAACAAAAATTTGTAAACAATATTTTGCCTGCGAGATTTCCAAAGGAGCATCCAACAAAGGCCTTCTTCCCTCAATGCTGAACAATTCCAACTAGCCCTGAGCAAAAGGTCTGGGCATCTATTGACAGACAGAGTAGCTTGCAAGGTAAAGGAAGCCCTGCCAGCTCTCATCTGATAAATTAAGCAATGGCCTAGCACCACAGAATGGCTGCCATAGACCACTCTTTCTGGACAAGAGGATCATACCCTGTAGCACATGCTGGAAAAGAACATCCTTAAAATAGTCATCCCAGCTAAAGCTTTCCTAACGAGATCTTGTTGCAAAGTTGAAGGGCTTCAGTTTAAGTCCCTGAAAACAGCTAATCTGGCTATTGGCCAGTAATGTATGAAGGAAGGAATGGGTTTATTGTTGTTGTTGTTGTTTAGTCATTGTGGTTGTTGTTGTTTAGTCATTAAGTTGTGTCTGACTCTTCATGACCCCATGGACCAGAGCACGCCAGGCCCTCCTGTCTTCCACTGCCTCCCGAAGTTTGGTCAAATTCATGCTGGCAACTTCGATGACACTGTCCAACCATCTCGTCCTCTGTCGTCCCCTTCTCCTCTTGCCCTCACACTTTCCCAACATCAGGATCTTTTCCAGGGTGTCTTCTCTGTAATACTGAGTAAGTATTACAGTGTAATACTGAGACAGAAAGAGGAAGCAATTCAGCTGACCAGCATTTAGACACATGCAAATCTTTCAATGGAGTGTACCCAAGGTCTACCATCTGCCGCTGAGAACAATAGGTATTTAAACATATCCTTCAGTAGCCCCCCCCAAAAAATATTTTTTAAGGAAGGAGAAAAAGGCCCTCCAAGTCCTTCAGAACTCTTCTACAAGGCAGAGCATCATAAAACTTGGGCGAAAGAGGAAGCAGAAAAGTCCCAAATTCATCCCAGTCAGACATTACAGCCATGGGACCCACTGTTATTTACTCTCCAAAATAAAAAAGTTCAGCAGGTTTGCACAGCCAGCTGAAGGTGCGGGCTTATCAGTTTGCCCCTGCGGGAATGTAGAACCAGTTACCCTGTCTGTATAGAAAAACTTGCCAAACTATCAGTTCATTGTCTTTTTATCAAAGCATGTGTTGGCATGAAGTGGGAAGCCCTTTTCAACCTCTCCCACTCCTCTACCCAAGTTTTGCAATCCCCAGACAGATGAGGAACTCTGAAAGGCTCAAAAACTTTCTACTTAAACATTGGTGATCCGATAAAGGTATTACTCAACTCTTTTTAAAAATTTCTGTTATGGACTACACCATTTAGTTTCCTTTTCTATAAATATAACCTAAGTACATTTGGGATCTTTTGTCACGTAATGGATAACCTTTCTGTTACCCAGCATTTTATATTGTGCATATGGGAGTCACAGTTCATCCATCTATACCAGAATCATATCTAGGCACTCAGGAAGTTAACGGGAATGTTGCCAGTGCCTACAGAGCCAGGATTTTATTCACTAATGAATAGCAACATAATCTAAATCCAATATCCATAATTCAATATAAGGATTGGGATTGGATGTCTATAATCGGTGGTGTGTTTTGTTTTCTTCCATGTATGCAGATACAAAATGATCCTTTGGTAATAGAAAGACAAAAGGAAATAGGATTAAGGTTGCTATGGGAACTCAGAATTTTCTGACTTGTGTGTGATTAAAATCTTAACTGTAACATTTCATTAAAATGCGTCGTTAGGGGCTTTTCAAAAATGATGTTTAGCATTATTGAACATTTTGGTTCTTGTGCCCTTTGCATATTTGGGCAATGTATGTATTTAGCCAGAGAGCACAAAGATCTCTCTCTCTCTCTCTCTCTCTCTCTCTCTCTCTCTCTCTCTCTCTCTCTCTCTCTCTCTCTCTCTCTCTCTCTCTCTCTCTCTCTCTCTCTCTCTCTCTCTCTCTCTCTCTCTCTCTCTCTCTCTCTCTCTCTCTCTCTCTCTCTCTCTCTCTCTCTCTCTCTCTCTCTCTCACACACACACACACACACACACAGACACACACACACACACACATAGTGCATCTCTCTCTGGCATGAGGTGTGTACGCTTTCATAATTTCCAATAATATCAACAGGAGTTAGTCATGTAAATCTTCCATGTGCAGTAAGAACAACTGGCCCTGTAGAGCATGAAAGCATTATATTAAACTCATTTTTCTCAGCGTAGGTATAAATAGACTTCTAACATCCAGATGACAAGCAGAGAGTTAAAGGCTGCACATTGCTAGGTATCATGCATCAACCCACTTATCTTTATTGTCACACGCAACAATGGGGGAAGCAGAAATCTAGCTGCACTAAAATGCAACATTTGAAAGCAAACAGGCTTTTCCCAAGAAAGCCATCAACTGCATACAGAATGTTTAAATATTCCTTTCCTTTATTCTCTCTATGGGACAAACCAGATGTTATACAGGAGACTTGTTTGGGATTTTTAAAGGCCCATTGAAGTGGATAAAAGTGGTTCAGTTTTGATTGCAATATTGGCACTGAGGGATGTTTCAGCCCACAACCAACCAGAACTATTATCCCAATCTAAATTGTTCCCAAGAATGCTGTTTGCTCTTCCCATGCCTTATTTGTTTTTCCCCAGAGGGGATAATAAGGGCTTTGGTGACATGACATAATTTAAATGGGGGGGGGGAGGGAGAAAGAGAATAAATATCAAACACACACAGGTTTTAGGAGATCCAAAAATGGCTCTCCCATATCACATCTGTTGAGAATGTCTGTTTCTAAAAGTGTGTATATTAAATTCAGAGGTTAGATATGTTTCTTTGGGGTCCTACAACTCCCAGAATGCCCCAGCTAGTATGTATCCTAGCCATGCTGGCTGGATTTCTAGTTCAGAGACATAATATGTCCCAAATCTGTTTAATGTGGTTTACGGTCACCAACACTTGGTGCCAGATTACTCTGCAATAATCAGTTTTTATCTATCCATTTTCTGTAGAGGGGATGGAGGCTGCACAGGAAACACTTCTCAACGACAGTTTGAGTGCATGGACTCAATGACTGAGTCATTTACTCTGTCTCGAAAGGGTCTTAATATCTTGGTCTGCCTTTTCTAATTTTTACTTGTTTCTAAAAAATAAAGTCTTGTAAGGATTGCAACACATACATAGGTAATGTGCAAGGAGCACACAAGGGAGTGCTATACAAATATTATAATAGATCCTAGCCAAATGACCATTCACTGATGCTTGTTTTATACTATAGGCAGGCAAAGTAACATCTGGCAACATGGATCAACATCTGGTGCTGAAATGGAACACTTCTGCTCATACGTTTGAAGGCTTATTTGTAGGAAAAGCCTAAGCTTGACGAAACAAGTCAAATTAGACATGATTTCAGAGATTACGTGACTATTACATGAGAAAGGTTATATTAAACAACCGAATGCTGAATGCTGTTCCATAAATGGACAACTCCCTCACCTCACTGAGAATATCTCTCTTGTCTGAAAATCTTTGAATGAACACATCAAAAGTTGTGGAGGTTGAGACATCATGAACTCAAGCAATGATGTAAATAATCCAGTACTTGTTTCATGTTACTCATGTGAGACACTGCTTGGTCTGTCACCAAAAACAACAGCAAAAAAGACCACTCAGCTTTAACATGTATAGTTCTGCCAATCAAATGATAAAGAGCAGAATCAAGCCTTTGCAATAAAAAGAGGCTTTCTCTTAAAGCATGATCACTGCTTTCATTTTCATCTAGGTCTAGGCTTCAGCTATAGAGGTATCTACTCATGAGTAGTCCCCTGAGACTTTCCAGGGACTGCTCATCAATGACTGGTTCCAGAATTATGTCTGTGCGCACTGACTCTTACAATTGCCTCATTTACTTTGCCTTTTACTGTCTATGCCAGAAGCTGGGATACCTAGAAGTAGAAAATGCATTGTACTTCAGCCTGCCTTGGCTATTTTTACCTGAAAAGAATGAAAGCAAAGCTCCTGTGTAATTCTAATTGTTTTTTAACTTGTACACTGTTACTTCCAGCAGCCTCGTAATGAGGGCTCAGACAAAAAAAATGAAGCATATAATAGGAGCCTACCATTCCTCTTCTTAAAAAAAAGGATACATATATATATATATAACTGACCTGCAGTTCTGGTTTGACTGTAGTTAAGAATATTAGCATGTTAACCTTCTTTTATTACATTACATACATGAAAACAATTAAAGCTGGGATTCTTTCCAGTACATTTTCATCTTTTTCTGTTCCCTCTGGCCTTTTTCCATCCATTTCAAAAGATGTATATAGCATCAACAGAACATTCCCTCATGCTGTGTGGGGCTTTCCTTTAAGGCTTTGTTTTTTTCTTCTTAACAACTGTCTGCCTTTCAAGCGTAGCCAGCTACAGTCTATCACAGAGCCACTGTGGCAACAACAAAAAAACAAACAAACTGACAAAAGTTGGGGTGGATAGTTTTTGTTGTCGTAGTTGCTTAAATGTGTCATCAAATTAAATCCAAGATTGAAATTCAGCTTCTTCGTTTATTGTCTCCCCCCCCCAACTCTCCTTTCCCCTTCACTATGGTAAATGGTAATTAGAGTCAATAATCTTTTGCTGAGAGAGCACCTTGTCCTTAACAGTGTTTATATCATCATCATCAAAGATCTGCCTGGAGGGCCCTGGCGTGTTAATAATTTAAGGTGTGCACGGCCTAGTTATAGCAGGAAGCCTAGTTATTGAGTTTGTAAAGCAGCTGATGATTTATGGGAACACCTTGCGTGAGTCATGCTCATTAAATAAAATACTTTGGCTTAATAAGGAACACAGGGGTAAAAACCAGTTCTTCCCATTGCAGGGGCAAACAGGCCGTTGGAAATGGTGTTGTTTTTGGTGTCACCTGCTGAATGGCAAAGGAATATTTTTGCCTCCATTTTAAGAGGCAAATCAAGCCTTAGCCGATCAGGATGTGAGGCTTTCAT